TAGGCCCAAGGGGCGGACCACATGGTACATGGACCCGTAGGCCCAAGGGGCGGACCACATGGTATATGGACCCCTAGGCCCAAGGGTGGACCACATGGTATATGGACCCCTAGGCCCAAGGGGCAGCTGAGAGGCAGCAATTTGCAGAGGGTTATAGATGGAAGTTGCACATGGGCCAGGATGTTCACACATATGTTTATAGAGCCCCACATTTTAAAAAACAAGCTGAGGTTGGGACGAGAAGCAGAATGGGCTACAAGCTAGAGTCTAGGGTCTGACTCTGTGCATGCAACCATGATAATAAATTCTGAGCTAAAATTCTCAGTTGAAATCTGGCCTCCCACATTGTTTTGAAAATATATTTGTCAAGAAGGGGGATAGAAAATACTTTGTTTAGCATTCTGTTGAATTTATTTGTAATTTTTCACATTTAAACACATGGTATATGAACCTCTATTTGTACTTTTGCTATAGGTTCTGCAAGCGTTAAAGGCAGGTCTGTTCAGAACTGCTTATCAGCAACTCCCCTTTTTCTTCAATGGCTTTTCCAAGTTATAGACATTTCCAGCCACATTGCCAAGAACCTTATTTTTCTTCAAAGGTAGAGCAAAGCTTTTCAACTCCGTAGCCACCCTCTGTCTCTGCACAGGGACATCAAGCTCAGATCTGCTGTGACTCTTGATACATAAATAATTTTTTCAGGCACAAAACCCAAGGACATATCTGGTAAATTCATGTCACCAGTTCATTAAGATTTCCATGTGATGTTTTTGTTTTTAGCTGTATATGATGTAGTGGAAGAAAAGCTGGAAAGTGAGCCGGACTTCCAGTACATTCCTGAGAAAGCCCCACTAGATAGTGTCCATCAGGATGACCATTCCCTACGGGAGTCAATGATCCAGCTAGCTGAGGGGCTTATCACTGGAACAGTCCTGACACAATTTGATGTAAGTAATACCACTATATAGAAAAGGTGTTTGTACATATTCGCCAATTGGTTTCATGATTTTTTGTTTTTTAAATAATATTTTACTGTATTTTTGGTGAAGGTTTACACAGCAGTTTAGGTTCCCATTCAACAATTTCTACACAGGTTGTTCAGTGACATTGGTTACATTCTTCACAATGTGTGAACATTCTCATTATCTCCGTTCCGGTTGTTCACTTCTCCGTTAATCTAGTTTCCCGCCCCCTTTAATTCTCATCTTTATTTTAAAGTAATTGTTGACCATTTGGTCTCACATAGGTGGTTTACCTTCATGGTCTTTTAACTAACTAATCTACCATCCTTCATAACTTATGAACTAAGTTATTATAATAACTTATAAACTAATGATAAGGTAATTCTGAGAAATAATTATATTTGCTGTAGTTTAACATGTAATTTTTTTAAAATTGCCCCGAAGTGCTGGTTATGGTTATATAAATAATTTCTATTTAAAAAGAGAGGGTTAAGGAAATTTTATACATATGTCATCAAACTAAATTTTTCTGGCTGTTATTAAAATAGTTTTTAGGAAAGATAGAAGATGAATATAAGCTATTGTAGACTTAAAAATTCTGAGTTAAAAGAAAATAACTCTTCTGTATTGAGAAGTCATATCTTGTCATATTTAGTTCTTCTCTAATTTTTGTTAATGAAGGTGGCTATTTTTATTACTTGCACTGAAGTGCATATTACAGATATGTTTTGGTCACAATAAAACATTTAATGCATGTCAGTTTTTCTTATAAAAAGTTCTTGGTTCATATACTGTAAACATCTCCAAAGTAGATGAAAGCTAAGTATTTTCTACAGATTTGCCATTTAAAACTTCAGGTTTTTTTTCACTTGTTTTACCATTTTTCAAAATATTATGTATAATTCATGTCAGAAATTATGCAAAATTCAGCTTTGCAAATCTGATTCAGTACTCTACTGGCCTAAGGTATGTCACTTTACAAATGAGGTGTTCAACGGAAAAAAACCTGTTTCGTGTTAGCGTAGAAACAAGTCCGAGAAACAAAACAGAAATTGTCGATGGCTTCCTGGTCTCCTCTTATACTTTTTTTTTCTTTTAAGCAACTATATCGGAAAAAACCTGGAATGACAATGTCTTGTGCAAAATTACCTCAGAACATTTCCAAAAATAGATACAGAGATATTTCGCCTTGTAAGTATTCATTCTCTCTGAATGTTGAGTTTAATCTTTTAACGTAACTTTATTAAAGCATTCTTAGTTTTAACTAAAACCATTCCTAAAGCCAGCTCTTCAGACAAAGATTAGACTGGACTCTGGGACATAAAATGATACTCATGAAGAGTGTGCTTCTTAGCTCAGGTAGACACAAGAGACTAAATGGGCAGCTTCTGTCCGGAGGTGAGATGAGAAGGCAGAGAGGGTCAGGAGCTGATTGAATGGACAGGGGAAATCTGGGGTGGAAAGGAGAAGTGTGCTGTCACAGTATAGGGAGAGCAATTAGGATCATATAACAACATATGTGTAAATTTTTATATGAGAGACTAACTTGAATTGTAAACTTAAAGCACAACAATACAAAAAAAAAGCATTCTTAGTTTTGAACTTTTTTTTTTTTTTCAGATGATGCTACACGGGTCATTTTAAAGGGTAATGAAGACTATATCAATGCAAATTATATAAATGTAAGTTTGTTTTATTATAACTTTCCATTTGGAATGAAAGAGGCTACTTTAAACTTTGAGATTAATTCTTTTTTTATTAAAAGGCTAACTTCAAAAACTAAAATAATATAAAAATAATATTAGAGAAAATAGTTTGATACTGGCATATTAATATACCACTGATATAGAATAGTCCAGAAATGTTGTTATTGTTGTTTTTAGGCGCTGTCAAGTTGATTTTCGACTCATAGTGATCCCATGTGTCAGAGTAGAAGTGCCCCATAGGGTTTTCTAGGCTGTAATATTTATGGGAGCAGATTGCCAGGTCTTTCTCCCGCAGAGCCGCTGGATGGGTTTAAGCTACCAGCCTTTCAGTTAGCAGATGAACGCTTAACCGTTGCATCACCAAGGCTCCTTCTAATCCAGAAATAGACTCAAATAAATACTAGAATTTTGTTTATGATAGAGGTGACTTTTTAAATCATTGGTGATAAAACAGATTATCCAGTTAATGGGTTGGGCCAAGAATACATCTTTGTAAAGAGGGTTTTTTTTTTTCCATCCAGAAAAAAAAAAGAACCATTACTTACTTTTTTTTTAACTATGTAATATAGAAAATTTCAAACATAAAAAGGTAGAGAAAACTTAAAATGAACCTTCATATACCCATCGCTCAACTTCAACAATTACCAACTAGTAACCAATCTTATTTAACCAATACCCCCACCTTTGCCCCCATACATCCACCATTTTTTCATCTGATGTGATTTTCCTATGTGTTGTAAATCCTACCTCTATAATGTTAATGTGGCAGAATGAGCAGCAGTTATGTTAATGAGGCAGGACTCAATCTACAGGATTAGGTTGTATCTTGAGAAGTAAGCAGAGGCAGAGGGACCTCATACCACCAAGAAAGTAGTGCCAGGAGCAGAGTGTGTCCTTTGGACTCGGGGTCCCTGTGCTGAGACACTCCTAGACCAGGGGAAGATTGACGACAAGGACCTTCCTCCAGAGCCGACAGAGAGAAAACTTTCCCCTGGAGCTGGTGCCCTGAATTTGGACTTCTAGCCTACTAGACTGTGAGAGAATAAACTTCTGTTTGTTAAAGACATCCACTTGTGATATTTCTGTTATAGCAGCACTAGATGACTAAGACAAGAGATATTATCCTATCATTGACAGCACTGTAGTCCAGGATAGATCTTGAAATGTTCTTTCTGACATTGAGTGTGACGCCATTCCTCTTCAATTTGTCTTTCCTGACATAGTAGACCATATGATTGTCTGATTCATAACGGCCAATACCAGTCCATTTCAGCTCACTGATGCCTAAGACATTGATCTTTATATGTTCCATTTCAGTTTTGACACCTCCCAATCTTCCTAGATTCATACTTCATATATTCCATGTTCCTATTATTAATGGATGTTTGAATCTGTTTCTTCTCATTTTGAATCATGCCACATCAACCAATGAAGGTCCCGAAAGCTTGACTCCATCCACGTCATTAATATTGACTCTATTTTAAGGCCCCCACATGTCTGTCAGTTTGTTGTAATGTGGGGGCTTGCATGTTGATGTGATGCTGGAAGCTATGCCACTGATATTCAGATACCAGCAGGGTCACCCATGGCGGACAGGTTCCAGCTGAGCTTCCAGACTAAGACAGACTAGGAAGAAGGACCCGGCAGTCTACTTCTGAAAAGAATTAGCCAGTGAAAACCTTATGAATAGCAGCGGAAGGAACGTTGTCTGATACAGTGCTGGAAGATGAGCCCGCCGGGTTGGAAGGCACTCAAGAGACGACTGGGGAAGAGCTGTCTTCTCAAAGTAGAGTCAACCTTAATGACGTGGATGGAGTCAAGCTTTCAGGACCCTCATTGTCTGATGTGGCACGACTCAAAACAAGAAGAAACAACTGCAAACATCCCTTAATAATCGGAATGTGAATTGTGCAGAGTATGAAACTAGGAAAATTGGAAGTCGTCAGAAATGAAATGGAATGCATAAACATCGATATCCTAGGCATTTGTGAGCCGAAATGGACTAGTATTGCCATTTTGAATCGACAATCATATGGTCTACTATGCCAGGAAAGACAAATTAAAGAGAAATGTTGTCACACTCAGTGTCAGAAAGAACATTTCAAGATCTGTCCTGAAGTACAACAGTCAGTGATAGGATAATATCCGTACACCTACAAGGAAGACCAGATAATACATCTATTATTGATTTTTACCAGCTTCTGCAGCCTGAAATTGATCGAACGTGCAATCAGGATGCATTGATAATTATTGGTGATTGGAACGCAAACGTTGGAAACGAAGAAGGATCGGTAGTTGGAAATGGCCTTGATGATAGAAATGATGCTGGAGATCACATGATTGAATTTTGCAAGACCAATGACTTTTTCGTTGCAAACACCTTTTTTCACCAACATAGATGATGACTATACACATGGGCCTCGCAGATGGAATACACAGGAATCACATTGACTACGTCTGTGGAAAGAGACAATGGAAAAGCTCAACATCATCAGTCAGAACAAGGCCAGGGGCCGACTGTGGAACAGACCATCAATTGCTCATATGCAAGTTCGAGTTGAAACTGAAGAAATTATAACAAGTCCACGAAAGCCAAAGTATGACCTTGAGTATATCCCACCTGAATTTAGAGACCATCTCAAGAATAGATTTGACGCATTGAACACTAATAACCGAAGACCAAACAGTTGTGGAATGACATCAAGGACATCATATGTGAAGAAAGCAAGAGGTCATTAAAAAGACAGGAAACAAACAAAAGACCAAAATGGATGTCAGAAGAGACTCTGAAAATTGCTCTTGAAGTTCAGGTAGCTAAAGCAAAAAGAAGAAACGATGAAGTAAAAGAACTGAACAGAAGATTTCAAAGGGCAGCACGAGAAGACAAAGTAAAGTATTATAATGACGTGCAAAGAGCTGGAGATAGAAAACCAAAAGGCAAGAACACGCTTGGCATTTCTCAAGCTGAAAGAACTAAAGAAAAAATTCAAGTCTTGGAGTTGCAGCAGTGAAGGATTGTATGGGGAAAATATTAAACAACACAGGAAGCATCGAAAGAAGATAGAAGGAATACACAGAGTTAGTATACCAAAAAGAATTGGTCAACGTTCATCCATTTCAAAACGTAGCATGTGATCAGGAATCAATGGTACCGAAGGAAGAAGTCCAAGCTGCACTGAAGGCATTCGTGAAAAACAAGGCTCCAGGAATTGACGGAATATCTATTGAGATGTTCCAACAAATGGATGCAGTGCTGGAAGTGCTCACTCGTCTATGCCAAGAAATTTGGAAGACAGCTGCCTAGCCAACCAACTGGAAGAGATCCATATTTATGTCTATTCCCAAGAAAGGTGATCCAACAGAATGCAGAAATTATTGAACAACATCATTAATACCACACAGAAGTAAAATTTTGCTGAAGATCATTCAGAAGTGGCCGCAGCAGTGCATCGACAGGGAACTGCCAGAAATTCAAGCCAGATTCAGAAGAGGCTGTGGAACCAGGGATATCATTGCTGATGTCAGATGGATCCTGGCTGAAAGCAGAGAATACCAGAAAGATGTTTACCTGTGTTTTCTTGACTATCCTAAGGCATTCGACTCTGTGGATCATAACAAATCATGGATAACATTGCAGAGAATGGAAATTCCAGAACACTTAATTGTGCTCATGAGGAACCTGTACATAGATAAAGAGGCAGTTGTTCGGAAAGAATAAGGGGATATTGCATGGTTTAGAGTCAGAAAAGTTGAGCGTCAGGGTTGCATCCTTTCACCATACCTATTCAATCTGTATGCTGTGGAAATAATCAAAGAAGCTGGACTATATGAAGAAGAACGGCATCAGGGTTAGAGGAAGACTCATTAACAACCTGCGTTATGCAGATGACACAACCTTGCTTGCTGAAAGTGAAGAGGACTTGAAGCACTTACTG